AAAATGAACTAGTGCCATCTGTTGAAAACATGCGTCATGACTTTTCCGACAACCCAATATTACAATAGCCTCTGACCTGCTTCCTTTACTCTAATTTATCTCATAGTCAATCCATTGTCTACAAATCTGGTCGTGTTACCTTCCTAAGAAAAACCTTTTCATGGATTTCCAAGGCCCTCGGCCCTCAGTCATATAAAACTGTTCATGATTGGCTCCTGGTCACCTCTCCATGCTCTCACTGCTCACCATCCCTGTTTCACTCCTTCCTCCAGCTATAATAAACTTTGGTAGCATTCTCCAAAATAGCCACGGTCTCTTGTCTTTGGGCCTTTGCACATGCTGTGCAGACTGCCTGAAGTGTACCCTCCCACCACTCTTTGCCTAACTCTTATTTGTTCTTCATTTCTTGGCTTAAACATTAATTTCTCTGGATGGCTCTCTAGCTTCCCAAGACTGGTTCAGCAGGAGTCTTGAGTGCTCTGCGGACTAAACAGTTGGCATTGTATTTGTAAGCATACCTTTCTTTCTCCCATTAAAGTAGGTTTCTTAAGGCCCTAAACTAATACTTTGTTTTCCACTTATCTCCAATACCCTGCCCAGTGCCTGGCACATAGTATGCTCTCAATAAATGCATTCTGAATGAATCTATGTTCTTTTCCCTATAGAGCTTAGTATAATAATCTACATTTACTAGATAATTCAGGACTAGGAATGGTACAGTAATTGAGAACAAGCTCAATTAATTGTTTAGCAGGATTTTTTTGTCCTCTGCAATTCTTAAAGTCCATTAACTCTCAAGTAGTCATTTTCCTGGTAGTAGATTTAAGAGTGGTAAGAAAGCCTATAAAATAGCCAGAAAAACCAACTGTTGATGCACCCAAATTCTGTAACACCTGAGAATGAAGAAACACTTATCAAAATGATCTTCACAAGGAGGAGAGGGTGAATGTGGAAGAATCTGCTGCTGCTGATAATGACAACGATTATCGTTAATAGCATGTTTCTGTGCCAGGCACTATTATAATCATTGTATGTGCATTAATTCATTTAATACTCAAAATAATCATGTGATAGGCACATTATCCCCACTTGATGTATATTGAAACCAAGACACGGAGGGGTAGTTCCAAGGCTGCATAGCTAGTGGATGAGTGGTAGGTCAGGCACAGGAGCCCAGGCAGGCTAATTGTAGAGTCTGTGCTCTGAACCATTATGCTAATTTGAACATGATGGTTTCTGTACATAGAGTCCACAAAATGACAGAAATGTGCTTTGAGTTTCTTTTCCAGTAGTTGACCGATCCTCCCTGTGAAAAAAACATGGAAAACGCAAACAGCTGTAATAAAGCAGATATTTTCTTTCAGGATAGCTGGCTGGCATACCTTGGCTACATTAAAATTTTCTGAGTTAATCTGCTCAATCAATGGGAGTTACTATCTACCCCCTCACCCCACCCCACCCAAAAAAGGCTACTAGAAATCCAGTCTTAGAAAACTTAAAACTCAAACGAGGTGCTGTAAGCACTTGTCATCCGAACACTATGCCAAGAAACATGATCAGGTGAGCAAACTGCTTTTCTATTTTGTTTATTTCAAGGAAACTTAATTTTGCAAGGAAAAACAGTAAAATGTGAAACACTTTTAGATTTCCAAATTTTAAGTACAGGTTGTCCATTTCAACTACTTTACAATTTAATTACCTTGTATATTGACAAAAGAAAAAGATTTGATGGTTGTTTGCAATCTCTAATCCTATATTCTTTTCTCCTGATCTCCACTGGAATAGGACCCTCTTTTATAAACCAAATACTGCTTTTTTTTGAAGCCACGTTTGCTTTTACATACATTTTGTCTTTATCCCATCTCAAGGCTATTATATGTGGATGAGAAGAAAAAAGAAAGTAATAAAAAGGAAATGTACAATTCTACTAACTCAGCAATTTTCATGAATTATATCTGTTTATTTAAAAGTAAAAATCAAATTTTAACAACAACAAAAAACATAGGGACAATAATGTTAAGTATACTTTTCCCAGATGTATTTTGCAAATAACCGTTGAAATAGTCCCTTTATATTTTTATTCAATGTAGCGTTCATCCTTAAAAATACCTATTGCCTAGGCATCTTTTTCCAAAATACTTCTTTTTCTTTCTTTTCCCTTTTGATCTACTACTGTCAGAAGCATAATATTTGATATTTTGGTTTCTGTTTGTACCCAGCAAAACCTCACTGGATTCTGTAGCCAACAAGTCTAAAACATTTCAAGAATAATGTGGTATTTATTATTTGTGACAGTTAATATAAAGCATAAGAAAAAAGAAAAATGTTAGGAAGCAGTTTTAGTGGGGAAGAAATTGAAGTCAAACAATCAGTGTTCTAGTTGACAGATACAGACTTAGATTTAGGTTTGTGCAATTTAAAAATGGTCAAAGTATTAAGCCATTGATAATGGAGTAGGGCCAATGAATACATCACCATCCCAATGTTTTGATAAGATGCTGATGTTCAAAAAAGCATGTTTATGAATTCTAGGTACTACATCTCTAGAGCTAGTATATTTTAAATAAAAATAATTATTTTACTTCACAAGTACTCAGTGTCTTTGTTCGGCACAAAAAATCAATCTGTAATGAAAATGACAAAAATTATGAGGGAAAAATGAGAGTTCTTGTTGGAGAGGTAAGAGGAAGGGAGCAGAAGCAATAAATTGTGTGTCTACAAAGATTGTTTTGTTTTTCCAACACCACACTGTGTGCTTTTTCTGAAAATAAAATGGCAGTAGTAAGAAAAAAAATGAATTTACACTATAAAATAATTTGTAAATAGCCTACATATAAGAGATATAAGGAATGGAAAGTGATCTTTAACTAAAGGGGTGTTAGCACTGCTGCATCATCTTTCAGAGTAAAAACTGTAAATCACATTTCTTGCGAATTTTATGCAGAGTATCTCAAATCACAAGGGTAAAGGAGAATTTATCATAAGTGATCGGTTTACCTTCTTTTTGTTTACAGAAGTGCTTCGTAACCAGGTTTAATCCTGAGTATTATGCTATTCATATGGAACTACTGATGCAAACACCAGGAAGAGTCTGGGGTTTTAGAGAAGGGAGGGCTTTTAAAAAATACACTGTTAACACGTGTAAAACAGATGTTCACTTTAAGTTATTTTTTATACTAAATTTGTATTTTGTGCCTCCAACAGAACTGGCCTTGTGAAATGTGTAATGTTTATTTCTGGAACCAAATTACAACAGTCTATCCATAGTGTTCAATTAATTTTCAGGCAGAAGTTAAAAACAAACCTGACTTTATAACTTTCTTAGCTCATATATGATAGTGCAGCTTCAAGGTTGCTTACTAACATTTTAATTAATGTTTAGTAAGACCCCCAAATAGCAACTGAAAACTTTTGAGAGATACATCCTGTATTTATTTTGTATTTTTTCCAAGGTGAAACTGCTCATTAAATTACGTCATTCAATTCAATCTATATAGTACCACACAATAAAGAGAGATGGGAAAAAGCCAATAATTATCTAATGTAATACATTACACAACTTAAACAGCACTTGCCCATTATAAAGTGGTGTGAGGTACAAGCTGCAGATCCTTAGCACTTAATAAGCATTTAGAAATATTTTCACAATCAAAAAGAAATCAATTTCAACCAATAAACTTAATATTACATTAAATCAAGCCTTACCATTTGCAGTGGCTGGTATATTAAGTTTGCTTAAGTGGTCTTTCTGTGCTTTTGCTAGCATGCATATTCTATGAAATTCTTCTTTCAGATCCCAGAAAGTCTTCTCTAGATAACTGCTAAAAATAAACCAATATTTAAAAATGTAAGGCTATATATTCAAATATTTAAAAATCAATTAAACTTACATAGCCCTTTTTTTGTGTACCACAAAATAATTATTGAAAGATTTTAACTTTAGTTAAAATATATTTTAAATTCCTAGAAAATGTTCAAAAAATTTCTAATGTTTGGAGAGCCAGATGAAAAATTAAAAGTTCTAATACATGTATGTAGTGCAGACTAGCATATCTACTTATTCATATATGTCACTTATGCTGGCTCTCTCATTCTCACATTAGGAATTTCACTGTATTGACTTTGTTCACTGTAAGCATCTTAAGTAGAAGAAAATTTAATATTCTTCACTTGGATGAGGTCACATTAAGAGCTATCTGTGTAAAACAATGTGACCATAATACTTAGTTTATTGAAATATTAGAGCTTCAGAGAATTCAGTTTTTAGACCCATTTCTGTTGTTATTAACTCTATGACTTATTTAGGTCGTTTTAACATGGAGGAGCCTTGGGTTGGTCTCTTCTAGTTCTAAGAGACTGCTATTTTCTTACAATTGCTAAAATTTAAAAATATGTACATAAGAATGTATTTCAATATTTATAATTTTTAGAGTTGGCAAAAAAAAAATACAGAACTACCTTTCATGGAATAAAGGCATGCCAAGACTCCTTGGTGAAGTTTCTTTTCTAGGAGAAGAAACTTCTTGTCTTCTTTCCTTAAAGATACAAAGTGATTATCACTTTAAATTGCTTCTAAACTCAAATGAGAATGGTTTAATAGAAAACACAATGAAAAATTTATATTCCTCATTGAAAAATAAGTTTAGGTAGCTTACAGATATATTTATATGTGTGTATATATATGTATACATATATATACACACATATATAGCACAATAGATTTTTTTTTAAATGAGAACAATTAGGGAAATAGAAAAATGAAGGTAGAATAATAGGATGAAGATATGAATATGCCTGGTAACTTCTTCAATTACTATTTTCAATACTGATAATTCAAGGAATTTTCTCAAATTCACATATTGATCAAAATTGCTACTCTGATCACCAGTAGCACCTGATATGACCAGAAACTTTAGGGAAAAAAATCTATTTCTGTGTTTGTGCCTCTTTTCCATTATTGGCTTAAACATTTAAATCAATGTTTCTGTATTTTGTTAGAGATCTTTTGCTGAGGAATGCAGCTGTATTAGAGGAAGAAAACCAAGCTACAGTCCTTAGCATTTAACAAGCATTTTAAAGACAGTACCAATTAAGAATTTAAGCTGCTTTAACACAAGTTCTTGCCTTTCACTCCCACCCTGTGGCTTACACTGGTATTACACTCATTCTGACATTTAAAAGTCAACAATGAAAAGCATGGTAATCAACTACATGGTTTAGATTAAAAAAAAATCTTCACTATACCTAGAAAGCTCTGTTTACCTTATAAAGCTATAAATCGACAAATTCAAAGATTTTAGGAAATTCTAATATTATACTCTCATAAATTATAATTCAGCGGAAACTGTATAGGTCTTATATGAGTTCAAATTGAAACCAGTGGACATTTATATTTTGTAACTTTTTAGATTTTATTCACTTAAGGCCATCATAGCTATTTTTTTTTTTTAGCTGAGCCATCCTGCCACCTGTTAGCAGCTCAGCTTGGGTGGGGCTCGAACCGCTGTTGCTTAAAGCTTGTACTCTTTTTTAAAAAAGATTTTTACTGGGGAATTAGGAGATGGGAACAGCGCTGGGGAATTGGGGGAAGGGGAACAGACAATTGCTGTCCTTTTGTTCTTCAGTCTAGTTGTGGAGGACGTTGCTTCACTGGCGCAAGTTGGCACAATCATTGCGCTCTTCCCGGGCGAGGCAGATCAGTCGCCGGCTTCTGGATGGCAGCTCTCAGCGGCTGCTGGCTACATACGGTAGCCCATGGCATCCCACTGCAGCAGGGGCTGCAGCCTATGCTGCTGCCGGTGACTCACTGCAGCCCAGCACCAGGTTGAGCTGTTGTTCAGCATCTTAGCTGTAGAGGGCAGTGTCACTGGCCCTCATATGTGGGATCTGAACTGGGGCCCTCTGGCGTCCCAAGCCAGCTCTTAACCAATGCGCCACTCAGCCCTCCCCATTGCAGCTATTATTAAAATGAGTGATTTTACCTCATTGTTTCTTATCATCTGAGTACATCTCCTTTTAATCTTGCTGTTTGAAAAGTTCTTTCAATTTCTTAGGAGTCTATTTGTTCTTTATTAAGACTTGATTCCTGTTTGCTTTTCTTAAAATTAACATATTTTCCAATGTATTTCAGTTTATTGCTATACTTTTCCAGTTTTTTCTAATATAGCTTTTCTAATATTCATTCTAACATAATACAGTATTTTCTAAATACCAGTGCTTAACATTTTTAAAGTATTTTATAGTAATTAATAAAAGAAAATCCTGGCAACCCAAACAATTTGTGATTTTATAGCTGATGTTGTTAAGCTACGGTAAAATAAAGATAATTTGCTGCTGCAAACTTTTCATTTGACAAACATTTAGGCCATGTCTTCTGGATTACAACTGCTTTATTGGACTTATAAAATAGCAGTCACATCAGAAGACATTTTCACATTCACAGTTTGTTTTTAAAAGTGGTAGACAAAGTTTTTCTTTAGTGTTATGTGCAATTAGAACACTCAATGGCTTTTAGTGTGGACTAGGAAGAAAGGCAACATTTTATTTATTTTTTATTTTTTTAGCTGAGTCATCCTGCCACCTGTTGGCAGCTCAGCGGCAGCTCAGCTCAGGCCGTGAATTGAACCAGCAACCCTGTTGCTCAGAGCTTGCTCTCTTGAGCAAGCTCTTAACCAACTGAGTCACTCGGCCAGCCCCGAAAGGCAACATTTTAAATCTAGCCAACCATTCAGGATGCTATAAGTATGAAGACGAACCTTTAAAAGATTATATTAAATCTGTATCAACAGAGGTAATATTAGGAGAATAGAAACATTTGACAATTTAATATATTAAACAAATCATAATAAGTAAATTAAATGGAATGATTAATCTCTTAAATTTACTATTAGAAATTCTCAATATGAAAATTTATTAGGAGCTAGAAAGAACCAAAAAAAGAAGTACTCTGTAATTTTTAGTCTAAAAATGAAGACAGTTACGGAATGTGATAAAGACTATTCCAATTTTCAAAGTACTGATTTTGACATAAACTAGGAATGACTGCTTCTGATGTTAAAGAAACTATAAAAACTAAGGAGTCAGGGGGAGGAGGTGAAGGAAAAGGTAGGAAAAGAATGATGATAAACCTTTGTTTGGCTTGGCAAATAACATGTCAACTTATTTCTGTCATGTTTATGTTTGATTACTGGTATGGGTGAATTTATGTGGAAAAGATCCTTGGATTTACTGGTAAGGGAGTAAAGGGAAGACACATTTTTTGAGGAATTTCTAGTAAGTATCTAAGGTCTTCACCTTCTTTGGGGCTAGAAGTACAGCTCTGGTTATTATTATTTAGCTCTGCTTACTGTTATTATTACTAAAGAAAAGTATTAGGAATTGTACTAAGCAATATATTGCATCTTCTGTCATTCATACCAAATAAATCTGTTGATGTATTAATATTTTGAATAAAAATTTTAGGTCTCCAGTATTCCACAAAAAAATTTCCAAAAGGGACCTATTAACATGTTGGTTCCAAAAACCAAAAACACAAGCAGTTCTCTGACAGACATTTTGAAGTAGGGTTTATCTAGAAAAGATGCATCACAATGCTGTTTTCCAATTTAGCAATCTGACACATCTTTCTGAAAATAATCATTTAATTTTTCAAAGGATTTAGGATTATTGTAGTCAATGGCAACTCCAACACTTTTCCCAGAAACTCAAACTTTCCTTTCAATGCTAAATTATCTTACTTAATGATGACTACACAGTTTGCTGAGCATCCCAGAGAGTGAGTAAACATTAGAAGAGATAACTTGTATTTTTTTTTTCTCTTCTCAAAATTATCCCAGTGGATACCATGCTGCAGGGAGCTGAAGTTATTGCAACTTTAAATAAAAAAGCAAGGGAACTTTGAACATTATATTTTAGGAGATTTTAAACGTTAAATCATTCAACAAATGAACTTATCTTGAGGTACTAAAACTTAAAATACTTAACATTATAAACTGTTCCAAGTACTAGTTTGGAAATGCCGAACTTGTGGAATGAATACTGAAATAAGAGTTTTACACGTCGTACTTTTCATTTACACTTCCAGTATGGCGCTGGATAAATCATTCCACTAAATCATTAAGATAAACCCATTTGAAACAGTTGGAAGATGTTGTGAAATGATTCCTTAAATTTCCTTTTATGTGAAATGGGAGAATTTTGTTTCAGTATATGTAAATCAAGTTAAGCTTAATATATGTAAATCAATTTATCCATCTCATAGATGAGTATTATACAAAAAATATGTGTTCATCAAAGGCTATTTGAATAAGCAATGCTATTTAAGGAGAAAAAACAAAAAGGCTGATATTTCACTAGTTCAAAGCCAGGTTTATTCTTAAGGCAAAGGTAACAGAAAATATTTTTGTGTTGGAGTGCAGGATCTGTTGGATATCAACATCGCAAAGAAAGAAATGTGTATTTTCCTGAATGCCTGCCTTTTAAAATATTTGATACTAAAAGTGAAAGTATTTATTCCTTTTATAGACCAATTTGAAAAACACAGAAATGATTCACAACAGTCAAGATATGGATTCAACCTAAGTGTCTATCAGTGAATGAATGGATAAACAAAATGTGGTATATATGTACAATAGGATATTTTTTATATAGGAATATTTTAAGATTGAATATATCAACCGTAAAAAAAAAGAAATCCTGTCATCCAAGGCCACATGGATGAACCTGAAGGATATTATGCTATGCAAAATAAGCCAGACACAGAAAAACAAATACTGCATGATCTCACCTGTATGTGGAATCTAAAAAAGTCAAATTCACAAAAGCAGAGAATAGAATGGTGGTTGCCAGGGCCTGGAGTGTGGGGAAATGGGGAGATGTTGGTCAAAGAGGACAAAGTTTCAGTTATGTGGGATAAATAAGATCTGGAGATCTAAAGGGCAGCATTGGAGACTATAGTTAATAGTACTATATTGTACACTTGGAATTTGCTAAGAGAGTAAATCTTAAATGTTTTCATCACATTAAAAAAAGATAGCTATGTGAAGTGATATATTAATTAGATTGACAGTGATAAGTAATTTCATAGTGTGTATATATATATATATACATATACACATATATATATATATATATATATATATATATATAAAATCATGTACACTGTAAATATATACAATTTTTATTTGTCAATTATACTTCCATAAAGCTGGAGGGAAAAAAAGAAATGTGATGAAAAATTTTAATTCAGAATGTTTTTTCTTAAAAATATTAAGCAACTAAAGTCAGCAAATTAAATTGTGTTATGAAACTTCTGAAGATAATACTAAACTCAAAACAATGTATATTTTCTCATATGGAAAACGTCTAAACTTTAAAGGCCAATACTGAATATGGGTGGTAAGTGGTCAATAATATGTATTTGAACAATAGCAATGACAATCACTTTATTCCAGTGTTCATATCAAAGACTGCCTCTAAACTTTAGTTGAGATCCTTGCATGCAAAAGGAATGTTTATTTTTAGGTAGCTTAGGCACCCGAGTGTAGCTAATATTTGATTTTGTTTCTAGATAAGGCTCAATAGAATTATCCTTTTAAATAAGAGAACTATGCTCCTTTCTGGAACAATATAAACCAAGAAATAAACTGAGGTGAGATGGGATTAATTAGTAAAGGGAATATAAACTGTGGAATAGTCATAAATACTAGCTTGATAAAATTTACTATGGTAAAAGGAAAAAAATGAGCAGTGGAAAAAGAAACTGAAAATAAGGATTCACTTATAACTTAGATTTTTGGAACTAAGAATGAAATGTTAAAGGAGAATCAGGTTGAATATTTCCTAACCAGTTTTAGATACACTGAGACAAAGATGTTATGGTTAAATTCAAGCATCGACTATGGTTGAATTAGGGAGAAAGTGAGAAAAGGGCTGAGACATGAGATTAAAGTAGAAACAGAAAATACAAAAAAGAGATTTGATAACAATAACTATAAAAGCATAGTAACAGGAAAGTTTGAGGACAAAAGGTAAATTTAAAAAATACAAGGAAATTGTATTTATAAGAGTTTATGGCCATGTGAAATCTACGGTTCTCACCCTCCTTAACATTACTGAAAATTTAGCAAAGCAAGAGGAACACAAATCCTAGGAGCCTTGTCTGCTCTGCGTGATACAGTGCGAGGCAAACCCACTGCCAGTTCGG